CTTAAAATTCTTTACAGTTACAACTTGCTGAACACTCTGTTTCATGTGGGAGTAAAAATCTCTGGGGATGGGCCAGAAATGTCTGGGATTTACTTGTAGGGGCACTGGGGACTCTCTGGATCCAGTGTGAACATGAAATTGCACTGAAATGTTTTACAACAGGCTAGTGCCATATGGAGTGGGTCTTGCTGAACCAGTTATCGAAACATAAGGATTGAGAAATGGGGCTGTGCTTGAGGTTTTTCAAGTCTCTGATGTTGCTTGACATTCATTTGGGTTTATTTGCTGACATCCTCTTCTAGATTTTGCAAAGTTAAGTTGTTGCATCATTGAGAAAGTGATTTATCCAGAGGTCTTTAATAAATTGTAATTCACTGCTGAAGTGGTCTTTGGTTTAAAAAATCAATGTGTCCCCAAAATTAAGAGTTAAAAGGAGAACTTATGCAAGAATATTTAAACCTTGTACCTGTCTGTATGGTCCTTTTCCTTGCCACTGTATTCTGATCGTTAGTGGAGTCTGTCAGAAGTGCAGGTGCCTTGGGCCTATGATCTTTTTTAGTGCTCTTCTGGAGGAAGATTTTTATTTTTGTATTCTTTTCACTTATTTTGTACTAAGTGAATCAGTAATGAAGTGATCTAGATAAGGGAATTATCAGAGCCTCATGTTTTGGAGTGTTAGAGCTAGAAATCAAAAAGAAGAACACAAAAAGATTGTAATTTGGGGCATCACTTTAGTTGAAAGGATGATTTGGTCTGAGAGGAGTCATCCCAGTGAGAGAGAAGATAGGAAAATTGAATTAATGAATTCTTGTATTTGATTAAAAAAAGAAAGAAATGAGGGGATGAACATGTCAATTAGCTTGACTGTGGCAATCATTTTGTTATGTATATTTTAATCAAAATATCATGTTGTACACCTTAAATTTTTACAACTTTTATTAAAGATAAAACAAATAAAAAGAATGCGCATAGAGGGGCACCTGGGTAGCTCAGTCACCTTAAGTGTCTGACTCTCGATTTTAGCTCAGGTCATGATCTCACAATTCATGGTGATCGAGCCCCACATCGGGCTCTGTGCTCACAGCGTGGAGCCTGCTTGGGACTCTCTCTCTCCCTCTCTCTCTCTCTCTGCCCCTCTCTGCTCTCTCTCTCAAAATAAATAAACATTTTAAAAAAAGAACTCACATGGAGTAAAAGAGTGTAATCAGTAATCAGACAGCTGGTTATGATCTTTCTGGAAAACATAATTACTATTCTCTACCACCACCTCACAGATGCACTTTTCCTTAGTGTCATTTTGTTCTTGGTTGGTTGTTCTTATGGGACAACTTATTCTGCACTCTCAGTGGCCAGAATGGAATATATTGCTCATGTCTGCTAGAAGAACCAGGAGTCACTGGAAAACAGCATGTTTCCAGCAAGAGACTTTAAGATGTGCCTCAGGTAGCTTATTAGCACAAAGCAAGAGTACTGTCAGAAGTACCGGGCTGGGGGAAATATTAAAAGGATAAAGGTCAGCCTGAAGTTAGGGTTTCTAGTGACCAAGTCCCATCAAAAAGAATATAGCTACTGCAGCCATTGTTACTCTGGAAGGCTATAAATGTCTAAAGGGGCTCAAAAGGAAGGAACACATAATAAAAAGTGTGCCATGTGAAAGGTATATCCACCAAGATGAGTCAATTGGCTGATGCTCTCTACCTCACAGAGGTCAAACAGGTGGGAAGTCATTTATTTTGTAAAGAAATGCAAGGCACTGATTTATGTGATGCACTGCCTCCCTCCTGGGAGGAGGTTGGAGCAGTTCTTGTAGCCATAGTGACTGGTGCTGCAATACAGGCTGCTTGTGCTCAGCGTATCCCATAGTTCAGGACCAGGCACCCCTTCCCCCAATGCCAGGAGTGTTGGAGGCTGGCAGCTTGCTGAAGGAAGCTGCCTGGCTCAGGATCACATCCTTCTATGGTGGTTAGCTCCCATCTATCTTCCTTGGAGACTCACACCCTTCCCTCAGTGAGGAAGCACCCTCTCATCTCCAGGGCTCCCTGTGAGATCCACTGAGGCCTTGTCTGGGACTGCATCACAATTCACCTGCCTTATCTTGCTCCTGTATCTTGCTCCCTTGCAGGTGTACAGGTGTTACTTCCAAGATCACTCCATAAAAACCATTCTGCCCTCAACTCTCCATCTCAGAGTCTGCTTCCCTGAGAACCAGTCTGCATATATATAAAAATATGTTCTGCTTGAAATGTAAGAAATTCTTTAGAAAAACCAAACTGACTAGCCCTGATGGGTTGATAGAGCAAAAATATTGGCACAGGTCAGAAAATAGATGGCAGAGCTGAAGCCTAAGCCTGCCAAAGGATGCCACACCTGAGAAATTTACATTTGACTCACTCTCTGTCCTAGTAAATATTCTGAAATGTGCTAATTTATTGTGCACCAGTTACCTACACCTAGGGAGCAGGCAGATTGGTGATAAGAGCTTCTAGAACAGACAGCTGGTGTCAGGGAGGGGCTGTGGGGATCCTTGGGAGAATGGCCAAGTAGAATCTGCTTTCTCATTTCAGTCTCCCATTTCATCATCAGCTCCTACTAGATTTTACTGTTTCTATATTCTTTGCCACTTAAGAACCTGTACATCCTCAAAACCGTATCTGTGGACATCTTTTTGCCAACATAAAACCTTTCCATTGTGATGGGTGTGCCACTACTATTCTCGTTTCTGACCAAAGTAGAAATTTGAGATTACCCTAGTTTCTTCCCTTTATCTTATTTTCTATACCTGCAGCTGCCAAGACTTGTTGATTCTACTTCCTAAATATCTCTATAATTCCCTTTTCTTCATTCCATCTACCTCTTCCCCAGTTTAAGCATAAATATCTCTTTCCTAAAATATTATAAGGCTTTTGAAATTGTCACTTTGCTTCTAGTCTTGAATTGGAATTTTATCTCTTACATCTACTAAATTCTCTAAAGTTCTTCATTCTCTTCTCTTCCTTCCTCTTTTTTCTCCATAGACCTTCCTTGGGAGATTTCATCTACTTCTATGGCTTTGATGTTGATATGCTCAAGATATTCTAAAGATCCCACAATATCCACACTATCCATATGGGACTTTTCTCTGAGGGTCTAGACCTTTATATCTATCTGCCAATTCTCAACCTCTCAAAAAAAAAAATTGGCCCCTTTCCCCTCCAATTGGATCTTTCTTCTCTATTCCCCATTTCAATGAATTCCACAGCCTTCTTTCTGCCCAGCTGTCTAAGGCATAAACCTAGGTGTGGTCTTTGATTTTTCCATTTCCCTAATTCCCCAGGTCAAGCCAATCATCCCTGACTCCATCTTCTTTAACATCTCTCGGTCTTATCTCTTACTACCACTCCTATTATAACTACTACCCTGGTCTTACCCCAAAGTCTCATCTAGCTTTTTTGTTTGTTTGGTTTTTTGTTTGTTTGTTTGTTTGTTTGTTTGTTTTTAAGCTGGATTTCTGCATGAGCCTCTTAACTGGTTTTTTGGTCTGTGCTGTCCTCCTGCAATCCCTTCTTCATAGGCCAGTGAGCATGGTCTTTCTAATCTGCAAATCTGCATTCCTCTGCCTGATTTCTTTCAATGCCTACCCATTGTTCTTATAATAAATATCTTTGGCTTATAGAAACCCATTATAGTGTGGTCTCTACTTGCCTCTCAAACAATCTTTCTCCCCACATACTCCCACTGTCACTTACAATAGTCCAGTCATTGGAATTCCTCAGTTTCTTGAATGTACAATGCTTTCTCTTACCTCTTTCACACCATGGTTTCTTTCCCTATGTTCTTTACTTAGCTGTGCTCAAGTCTCCATCATGTGGAATGATCTATGCCCATAATCATCATAGTATTTCAAAGCAATTTTTAGAAAAAAGGAATTCAGGGCATCATAAATCATTTGAACCGATTTAGAAAACATGTTAGGGAGATTCAGGCTCTTTGCAGATAACTGAATATTTTCCATGTTGTCCTGATAGCTCTGTAGACTTTTGTGGGCTATCAAAAGTATCTAGCTTGGGCTCTAAATTGGGGTGTTTTTGCACTTCACGATGCATTTGGCAATGTTTTCATGCATGTTGGATTGTCAAAGTGTGTGGTTGGAGCACTGGGTGTTGTATGGAAACCAATTTGACAATAAATTTCATATTTAAAAAAAAGTGTGTGGTAGAATGCTAATTCACTGATATGAATAGAGGCTAGGGATGCTTTTAAAAATCCTACGATGCACAAGGCAGCCTCTCCCATCAAAGAATTATCCAATCCAAAATGTTAAATGGTATTAAAGTTGACAAACTTCGACTATAATGAAATTACAGTTTCATATTTCACTCAGGCACACTTTTCTATTCTAGAACAAAACATAAATAATACTCATCTTGCAATGAGAAGACCAGCATACAGTCCTATCCAAATGCCTTTGCTCTTATATTTTGATTTTTTCATTTCTTTAAAATGGTATTTTAGGAGCATCTGTGTGGCTCAGTCGGTTAAGCATCTGACTTCGGCTCAGGTCATGATCTCCCAGTCTGTGAGTTCAAGCCCTGTGTGGGGCTCTGTGCTGATAGCTCAAAACCTGGACCCTGCTTCGGATTCTGTGTCTCCCTCTCTCTCTGCCCCTCCCCCACTCACACTCTGTTTCTCTCTCCTTCAAAAATAAATAAACTTAAAAAAATTGTCTTTTAATACCTATCTCATGGGATTGTTATAAAAATTAAATACAATAATGTCTGAGAAAACCCTTAGTTCAGTATCTGGTGAATAGTAGTTAGTTGCTCAATAAAATACTTAAAAAAAACAAAAAACAAATCCAACACATAGGGTATGGGGTTTATGGGGTGGAGATGAATAGAATTTACCCAAATGGTTTCTGAGAGCATCACTCGTTTTAGGATCTGTACACGTATCACCACTTCTGAGAACATTTAATAGAAGAATATGCATTGACAAAGATCCAAGCATGTACACATACATACTTTTTGTTCTTCTCGTTCTACGGCTGCATTGCACTTTTCTATTCCGCAGTTCCTCAGAAAGTCTCTGAAATAGCCAAATAGGGTTCCAAGTCCATATCCCAAGTAAGTGAAAACCATAACATGAAGAGGTGCTTCCTCAAAGGATTCAACAATTGGCTTATCGTAAAAGTGTGGTTTCCCATTTTGCTAAAACACAAAAGAAAATAGAAGGTTAGTTCTCTTCTATTGCAATAAAATATAATACTTAAAACTTTGGACTTTCAAACTTTTAAATTTCAAAGGACATGTTTAAGATCATAAAAAGTGCTTAGAGAAAAGTGGAAATTGATCATTAAAGAGGGTAATCAGAAAGTTACATTTTATTTTACAACCCCCTAATAAAATAATTGATTCAGGCAAAAATTCTCAACAGATGCTAAATCCATTAGGTGAAAAGTTAGTGAGGAATATGGTTTTTGCAAGATGCCAAAGTATCACCCCGTAGGTTACCCCCTAATCACAAATCTGAGGTTACTACCTTGACCAGGTGATCAAATTACATCACCAATGTTGGAACAAAAGCATCTGTGCTCTTACCATAATGTAATACTCAATACTCTAATGATACATTTAACCTGAGTTTAGTCAAATGTTTATATCTAATATTAATTTCACAAGAAATATCAGGATCAGGATAAGGGAATGTGGTAAATGACTTCATGAGGAAACAATAAGATAATCCACAATGTACACAGCAAAGGAAATTATCAACAAAATGAAAAGGCAACCAATGGAATGGGAGAAAAAAATGTGCAAACCATATATATGATAAGGGGTTAATATCCAAAATAGATAAGGAACTCATACAACTAAAAAATTCTTATAAACCATGTTTAAAAATGGGCAAAGGAGGGGTGCCCAGGTGGCTCAGTCGGTTAAGCATCCGACTCTTGATTTCAGCTCAGGTCATGATCTTGCGGTTCATGAGATCGAGGTCTGTGTGGGGCTCCGTGAGCTGACAGCGTGGAGACTGCTTAGGATTCTCTTTCTCCCTCTCTCTCTGCCATTCCCCCACTCAGGCTGCTCTCTGTCTTTCCAAATAAATAAACTTAAAAGAAATGAGCAAAGGACCTGAATAGACATTTTCCCAAAGAAGATATACAAATGGCCAACAAGTATATGAAAAGGTGCTTAACATCACTAATCAGGGGGACGCAAATGAGGACTACAGTGAGACACCACCTCACACCTATTAGGGTCTGGGTACTCTCAAAAAGATAAAAGATGACAATCGTTTGTGAGGATGTGGAGAAAAGGCAACACTTGTACACTGTTGGTGGGAATGTAAATTGGTACAACCAATATGAAAACATGCAACCCATATGGAGGTTCCTCAAAAAAATTTTAAAAATAGAACTATCACATGATCCAGCAATCCCATTTCTGGGTATATATCCATAGGAAATGAAATCAGTGTCTTGAAGAGGTATCTGCACCTCCAAGTTCATTCCATCATTATTCATGAGAACCAAGACACAGAAACAATCTAAGTGTCTGTAGATAGATGAATGGACAAAGAATATAGAGTACTGTGGAATACTATTTAGCCACAGAAAGGAGGAAATCCTGCCATTTGCAACAATATAGATAAACCTGGATGACATCATGCTAAATGAAATAAGCCAGACATAGACAAATACCGCACAATCTCATTTATATGTGGAATCTAAAAGATCTGAACTCACAGAAGCAGAGAGTAGAATGGTGGTTGCAAGGGGCAGGAAGTAGGGGAAAGGGTGAGATGTTGGCCAAAGTACACAAATCTTCAGTTACGAGGTGGATAAGTTCTGGGATCTAATGTGCAGCATGGTTACCACAGTTAATACTGTATGGTATATTTGAAATTTGATCAGTGTATCTAAAGTGTTTCACCACACACAAAAAATGGTAATTAGGTGAGGTGATGGATATATTAATTAGCTTGACTGTGGTAATAATTTCACAGTGTTTACATGTATCAAATAACATTGTATATACAGTTTTTATTTGTCAATTATACCTCAAAAAGCTGGAGAAAAGAAGAAAAAAGGGGGAAAAAGGGTCTGTGGTGGAGGGGACTTTAAGAGACACAACCCAATGCTGTGTGTGTTCTTTCATTGGATCCTATTTTCTTGTTGTTGTAAAAGCCTGGTTAAAAATACATAATTTGAACAACTGTGTAAGTCCAAATGTGGCCTGGGTATGTATCTTATTAAGGAGTTATTGTTAATTTTGTTAGGAGTGACAGTAGTGTTATAGTTATGTGGGGAAATGTTTTAAACTTTATAGTGTATGCTGAAGTATTAGGAGAATGAAATGTTATGACACCTGTAATTTCTTTCCAAATTAAATACATATGAAGCAATTTGGGGAAAATGTTAATAACTATTCAGTTAGGTAGAGGTTATATGAATGTTTGTTATTTTTTAACTGTGTGTGTGTTTGAAATTTTTTATAACAGAAAGTTATAGGAAGTATTTCTTTATATTAGGTGTCAACATTCCAGTGGAAAGTCACTTTTAGTACCAAACCATTCTGATTCCTGCTTAGTTGATTTGTATATAGTAGCCTAATCAATATTGGCTCAATGGATTAGTGAGTAAATTATTCCTAAGGATAATGTTTAATTACATTTTAGTCTTTAATAAATATTTATACATTAATTCATTCTTTCATTCAACAAATATAATGCAATGCACAGATTCTGCATTTCTCAATGAGGACTGTTTTAACTACTTGGAATATATAACTTTTAGTGACTTACAGGAAATTGTCTAATGCCTACTAATATTTAATGCATTAATTTAATTTACACATATATATTTAAATGATGCATTATATGACATCATGTTAATTGGAAACATTCTTTTTGCTACTCTCATAATCTCTGTTGTTACTACCAGCACTGTTTGATTCCATCAACACAGTTTTCTAGAACATGTCACCTTCCTTTCCTCTATGTTGCTTGAGCTTCAATGTTATAGGATCTCTATGTGACTTAGTCACTGGAAGTTTTATCCCAAGCCACAAAATATATGACAATCAAAAAAATCTACCTGTAGGGGCCCCTGGGTAGCTCAGTTGGTTGAGCATTCGACTCTTGATTTCGGCTCAGGTTGTGGAACTGGGCCCCATGTCAGGCTCTGTGCTGAGCATGGAACCTGCTTGAGATTCTCTCTCTCTCTCTATCTGCTCCTCTCCCCCACTCGTGTGTGCTCTCTCTCTCTCTCTCTCTCAAATAGTAATAATAATAATAATAATAATAATAATAATAAATGTATCTGTAGATGAACATTTCTCATCTCCACATAACTTGTTTTTTTTTTTAATTTTTTTTAACGTTTTATTTATTTTTGAGACAGGGAGAGACAGAGCATGAACAGGGGAGGGTCAGAGAGAGGGAGACACAGAATCTGAAACAGGCTCCAGGCTCTGAGCTGTCAGCACAGAGCCCGACGCGGGGCTCGAACCCACGGACCGCGAGATCATGACCTGAGCGAAGTCAGACGCTTAACCGACTGAGCCACCCAGGCGCCCCTCCACATAACTTGTTTTTAAAGCAATTTAAAAAATCTTTTTATAATGACATTGAACACTTAAATTGTTACATCAAAACTCCATGAGATATTATTCTTTGCCTCCTTATTTATCCATTATATCAGGTTACTTTTCTAGATACCCAAAACTAACATGGATGGATGTTGCTCTTGTCTCACATGTCTTCCCCAAACATTACCTGGTGGTCTCAAATAACGACAGTGAGATAGCATTGCTTAATATGAGGTCTTGAATGAGAGGTTATAATCAATGTCCTGTATTTGGGATTACAGAGTATTCAGTGGGTGCCAACTGTAAGCTGACTATATGCTATGTTCTGGGGATACAAAGATGAACAAAACAGACCAGGTCCCTGGCTCCTGATTTCTTGACCTCCTTCTCACTATGTCCTCACAGCAGTCCTGTAGGTCTGGTGGACAGCTGATATTACTACTGTAGTGCCAGTCTTTGGCTCCTTTCCCTGGCTCTATTCTGTGTTTGACCTTTGGACTGCATCTGTCTCCTGCGTTTCAAGTGACCTCCTGACTCAGTTAGGAACCATCTCCTGGTTCCTTCCACATCATTGGGGCACACAATTAGCTTCCTTTCTTCCTGGATTTGTCAGAGTCCAGAAAAAGAGACTGAGATCCTCATGAGGAGGAGTTGATAAACTTTTGTGACTTGTTTGTACAAGGTCGAGGAAGAGGAAAACGAAAAGTATCTGCAAGGAGCATTATGGTATTGTTGATAAGAAGACAGAGGGAATTAGAAGGGGGTGCTGCTTATGGGGGAAGACAATGCTGAGTTGGAGGTGGTTATGGTTCTCAGAAGTGGGACTGTTTGATGAGCAGTTAGAGATGCAGGGAAAGAGAGAGGCCCTGGCTGAGACAGAGTCAACTACTATGAGGTACAATTTAAGCCATGATTGAAGGTGAATGTGATAAAGGACTAATTATAAAGAGAGAACAGTAGGTCTGAGACAAAATTGGGGACCATAGGGAAAGAAGGGTGAGTAAAAGGGGCCAAATACAGGTGACTTCCAGAAAACTGATTTAGTCTGCTCACAAATTAACCACTTTGGTTGATTTCAAAGATGGCTAAATTATGTAACCCCATGAAAAGAGATAAACTTCCAGGCCATCCTGTGAAGATCAGCAGAAGATTCTCCCTTTTTCCTTTCCTGGCCCTATATCCATTTATGAGCTCCACATGTGGCCAAATCAAGCAACACATTTCCCCTGAAATCCATGGGAACTTTCTGCTTACATTGGCTCTGACGCAAACCTGCAGTGCACACAATGGTCTACCTAGATGCAAATAACACTCTCAGTTGGGTGCACAGCCTGAGCTTGTGTAACTATTATTTTGCCCCTGTGACTTGTTCTGGAAGAAAGTTATAACATAAAGAAGAAATTTTCAACAATGCCCATCAGCTCCAACCAATATCAACTTTATTTTCTCTCATATAACTTGATTTATTTATTTTAATTTAATTTAATGTAATTTTATTTGGCAGGGAGAAAATGAGATATCTTGATGGAGAACAAAGTCACATGGAAATATATAGGTCTAAACAGATGGAAAGCAACTCATTTACTATATCCCTTTATTTAAAATTGAAGTCCATCATA